TATTGAAATATGAGGAACTGTCCTTCCACCCAAATTTTGCACATGGAATGGGATATGGGGCCAACTTGTTATTTGCTTCAAGTAGCAAAACTTATTTGACCAGCCCTGAATAATACTAGAAAACACTTACAAAGAAAAGTCTTTAACCAGTCTTTAATGATGTGTGCTACATTTAACTCCATAAAGATCAAATTATACTGATGCTGTATTGTCAGTTGAAATGATGGAATTCAAGTACCATACAAAAAATAGTAACAGCTGCTTTATTAAGTGGGATCTTTCTGCAGGTCTGCAAGAGCGGTTCTACTAGTCCCACACAAGGCACAAGGTCTGGCTCTGTTTAAGATGGTTGGAACATAGATGCTGAGAAAACTCTTTTGAAGAGTCTATTCTCTCTTATAAAATTACATTTCCCAAGAGGAAATAATGGTTAAACTAATCATTCTTGGTTGCTGTTAAGGCACATAGAATTCCCATAGGTTCATATATTACCTCTAAAGATTGCTTTTGCTAACGGATTTCCTATTGATACTTAATATTAGCTGCTGCTACATTAAGTCTACATTCCCTTTTTCTGAATAAACTTAAATAATTCTGACCATTAAGCTTATATGTGGTAGTAACTTGTAGAAGCAGTGGAACTTACATAGAACAGAGAAGCCTTTGTGGTAAGCTTAGTGGAGCCAATGCTGTGAGCCAGGTATCTGCAAAACACAGGTCCCATCCACCTCACACGTACATGTAAGTATGTATCGGTATTCAGCATCTTTAACGCACACTCCCTTTACACACATCTGTTCTTAAAATACAGGCGTTAATAAATATAGATGGACACTGCAAAGCATGTTCAAATTATTTTGAATGAGGCTTTTCGAAGAGTGTGAGAAGTGAGGAATGGAGGAAAGAAGGGTTGATCATTCTCCTCCACGTGACCAGATGTTGTCAGGGAAACCAGAAAACTCTGCTCTGGCTATTTTCTGTCAATAGTGTAAATCTTCCTTCACCTTTAGCTTACCCAGGTTCATATTAAAATGATTATTTCTAAAGCAACTGAGTTCACAATATGCACTCCAGATTCTTCACTGAAATCATTCCTGCTGAAAGCAGAGTCTTCTGCACAACAAGAGATCCTCCTCCTTGTCCTCCTCCTCCTCCTGGAGATATGACCATAATTCAAGAAATATGCAACAGTCATTAAAAAGTCTGGCTAAGGAAGAGAATGCAAAGATTTGAGTCAATATGCTTTAAATTGCCAAATTTCAAGGACAGACTAGAAAGTAACAGACTTGTAATAACAGTACAAAAGAGCCAGATTTCATATTTAAAATAGACCCATGATTATGATTTATATATTTAATTCTGTTTCTATCCTTACTTTCCACCTACATTTTTTGTGGCAGAGGACAGTGATGCAAAAAAGGCTTGACCCAACAATTTCTTCAGATAGCAGGTTGGCATGGTGAACCTTTGGATTGTTTATAAACTGGGGATCAAGTCTGCCACAATCATGTTGAGAGATTTGCAGGACGTGGTCACGGCATGGGCAGCCACTTTCTGTTAGTACCAGCAAATACAGCAACAGATACTTCTGCAGCATCGCTAGGAAATCTGCTGTCATTGTATCACTTGCCAACACTCCTCCGCTAGCCACACACTTATCAGTAGGAGGTGTCTGAGTGACTTATTTAGTACATTTTCAATCCCCCTCTTCCCCCTTGAAACTCAAGGCGGCAGATAGATAACATGTTTATCTTCACAACAGCCCTGAGTGATAGGTAATGCTGAGAATGGGTGACAGGCCCAAGCTTGCTTAGTGATCTTTATGGCTGAGTGGAGATTTGGCCCAGGTATCCCCTGTCCAACACTGTTAACCACTGCACCATGCTGGGTCCTGGGGGCCAAATTAAAGGCTTGACTAATCGCATGAAGCGGAGCTGTGCATGATAGTTTTCTTTACCCTTGTGTGACAGTATATGATGCTTGGGGAAATTTAACCTGCATTCTCAACCTGCTTTCCCCCTAAAATGATTCTCTCTCTCTCTCTCTCTCTCTCTCTCTCTCTCTCTCTCTCCACACATACACACACACACACACACACACACACACACACAGGCAGTTAAAAGAAGAAAATTTTCTTCTAATGATCCCATTTTGAATCAGGGCTACATGTGTTCATTTATTTGAATGTTTATTGACTGGTTGGATTTCTGCCCTCCCTTTCTACCAAAAGGTAAAGGAAATTGTCACACATAATTCCACTAAGTATGACTAGCAGAAAGTTTAGTTTGGTCCTGATTGGTCCCAGATCTCAGCCATGCACGCTTGTGTGTGTCCCAGAAAGTTTAGTTTGGTCCTGATTGGTCCCAGATCTCAACCATGTGCGTGCACACACACACACACACAGAGGCCACCAAGCCTGCAGCCAGCTCATGAGAGAACCTGCGCAAACAGTAGGATAAGACACCTGCAGGCAGGAACAGTGTATTTCCAGGATAGGGGTATGGATTCTAGTTCCGGAACATGCTTTAGGGTAGTTTTTAATATGTAAAGTAGTGGGACAATCTTCTCCCCAACCTGCCCCAAACTCTCCTGATTCTTCTGTGGTAACCAGGAAGAAGGCTAAAAATAAAGTCTTTATTCCTGTCTCTTTCCTAATATTAGGCAAGGTCTCTTTATACCTCTGCTCATCTTCATTTGTGAATGTTAACTGCAGTGCAGACTTGAAAAGATAGTAATACCCATTTGAATAATTCTCTGTCTTAGGACCACACTGCACTCCTTTAAATATGAAGCATGTGGCTCATTCCACCTCTGCCTATCTGCCTTCCTTCATTAAACTTTACTACAAGTGCACAAGCCCTTGCCTAGACAAGAACAAGTTGGAAAGCAGATACGAAACCTTCTTCTCCAGCCGCTTTCCCCTTAATCTGACCCCCATTTGTGAGGAAGGATGGAGGAACTTCATTGGCACCAATGGCATTGCCTTCTTTAGTGCCTTTTATGTATGTGTGTGGGAGACAAACACAGAGGTGGAGCAGCTAGCTCTCTACCCACCCATGGATCACGGCCTCACAGTCTTACATAAAGTTTTTAAAAAGCTAGGATCAGCTACACTGAAACTAGAATGTAGTTTAGAACAGGAAGTTGACGGAAGAGTCCAAAAAAGCAGCTGTTAAATTGCTGTCTAATTCCCTTATACACTCAGGCATATATTGTTCCACAGGGGCTAGAAGAGAATGGAGAAGGAAAGCAACTACCTCTGCCTTGCTAGACATATTCCATGATACTACTACTACTACTACTACTACTACTACTACACGAAGAAGAAGAAGAAGAAGAAGAAGAAGAAGAAGAAGAAGAAGAAGAAGAAGGAGAAGAAGGAGAAGAAGACGACGACGACGACGACGTAGTGCTGGCTTAAGACCAGAGCTTGGGCAATGTCATACATCATGATGGCTCAAGCTCCACAAACCCAGGAAACTGGAAGCTAAACTTGATGCCTTAATTGATTTGCCCAATGACATTGTGCAATGACATAAATTGTGCTCATTTTTACTCAGCCTACCCGCCATACTTTTTCCTGGTCTTTCAGTTCCAGATTCAGATGGGTGGACAGAGTACTTTGCAAACAGTAAAAATAGACCTGGGCTTGTATTGTTTTATGAAGCAGTTAAGAAGAATCATCCTGTGAGTTGGCCCATGACAGTTTGTTGCCTTCATCAGAAGTTGAAAGAAAAGAAAGAAAGTCCTCTTCTACAAGTGAGGCTAGATACTTCATAAGGTGATATAGGACTTTGACAGCATGGTTCACCTTTGCTGAACAAGGGATTCCAGATTGCAAAATAACTTAAGGAGATGTTATATCATCCAAGGACCATGACATTGCCAGCCTGGACATGTCTGAGAATTACTCATTCTTTTGTCCTACTAGGCCGAAGGAAGGAGGATAGCTTATCCTGTTGCTTAAGCAGTTAGGGCAGGAAATGGATCTTAAAAAGAAAAGAGAATAGGCCTTTGCCTCTGAAGGAAATTGTATGGGCTCCCCTGAAAAATCTGTTGAGGCACAGGAATCTGATGTGTTAATTAGGTGGACACCCATTTTGTGCTCAGCCTGCAAATATATGTAATAAGCGTCCTTTAGTTTCTAAAGCTAAACATCTATACCTAGTGAGCATTGGAATTTCTGAAACTTCTTAACAGTGAGAAGTGGGGTGCATTAGCACAGAACCAGGTTTCTTAAGGATAATGATAAAAAGTTTCCTGGGTTTAGAAATCATTCTTTGTCAGAATTTCAAATTATTCAAAATATCAAGTTACAGCAGAGCCTTTCCAGGTATCTCCTTTGATTCTTGGAAAATAGACATCACTTTAGTGATGACATATACTATACAGGTCTCACTGGTATCCCAGGCCTCTTTCACACTATTTCCTTCAGGCCTCAGATGAATACCATGTGCTCCCTGCAATTTACTGCTCTTTACTTTCTCAAGTTAATTCCTCCTTAGAGACTTCAGTCTTTCTCTCTCTCAAGGCTGTTCACTGATTTCTCAGAGTGTGCCTTTGGAAAGATTCTCTAGAAACTTCTACAATCAACACAGAAACAGGAAATTAATTTTATTTATCTCCTATTGGAATGTTCTCTTTCATTGATTTCTGATTGCCTGCTGAACTATCAGAAAGATGATCTAGTCTGTTATGTTCAGTATAAGAAAGTTACTTTACTCTTATTGAGCTTTAAAACTGATGAGATTTTAATATTTTTTCTTAACAGTAATGGTGCAATCCTATGAATGCTTACTTTGAACTAAACCTCCATAAGCTTAATGGGACTTACTCCCTTGTGAGTGTAGAAGAGAATTGCTGTCTGAGTTTTACACAAATGGCTAGCAAATTTATACCACTTGTGTCATCCCACTTTAATAACTATACAAATCTCTAATATACAGAACAAAATCCTATTAGCCATACCTTCCATTGTTTTTATTTCCTGTTCTTTACAGATCTGCAAGGTTTTTTCTTTCTTTCTTTTTTAATGGAGCAATCCTATGGTCTCTGGAAGGGCATGTTGTGAATTTTACCTGAGGCTACAGACACAGCTACAAGCTGACCTGGGGTGAAGAGCTCTGAGCATGTACTTTCTCCCATCCCTAACAACCTACTACTGTGGAAGTTTCTAGAAGAGAATATAAAGCAGTCAGTCTGGAAGCATTTTGAAAGCAATGCAGTGATTACCAAAAGCCAGCATGGATTCCTCAAGAAGAAATCCTGCCAAACTGATCTACCTTTTTTGATCTTGTCTTGAAGACTGCAGTAATGTTGTGGACATACTATATTGACTTCAGCAAAGCTTTTGACAAAGTGCCCCATGATATCCTGATTAGCAAACTAGCTAAAAGTAGCCTGGATAGAACAACTGATCTACCTAGGTCAACTAGGTAGATCTACAGTTGGCTACAGAATTGGACTCAAAGAGCGCTCATCAATGGCACTCTCTCAAAAAGGGGAAAAGTAACAAGTGGGGTACTGCAGGGTACTGTCATCCTGGACTCAATGCTCTTCAACAATTTTATTAATGGTTTGGATGAGGAAGTGCAGGGAATGGTTATCAAATTTGCAGATGACAGAAAACTGGATGGGATAGCTAATACAGTAAGAAGATGGAAGATGATCTTGATAGATTTGAACACTGGGCTGAAAACAACAAAATGAAATTCAGTAGAGACAAATGCATTTAGAAGTTCTTCATCTAGGAAAAAGAAGCTTAAATGCATTACAAGATGCTTGCCTGCAGGTGAGAAGAATCTTGGAACTGTTGTAGATCACAAGCTGGATATGACAATGTGATGTAGCTGCTAAAAGGGCAGGTGCTATTTTAAGTTGCATTAATAGAAGAATCACTTCCAAATCACATTAAGTACTAGATCTCATTTACTCATTACAGGCTAGGTGTCATCTGGAGTACTGTGTCTGGTTCTGGGCACCACAGTTTAAGAAAGATGCAGACTTGAAGAGATTCAGAGGAGTGCAACAGGGATGATCCAGGGACTGAAAACAAAGCCCTATGAAGAGAGATTAAAAGAATTGGTCTTGCTCAGCCTTTAGAAGGGAAAACTGAGGTGACATATGATAGCATTCTACAAACACCTGAAACATGTCACAAGGAGGAAGGACAGGCTCTCTTCTTGATCATCCCAGAGCGCAGGACATAGAATCCTGTTCTGTGTTACAGAACTGCCAGATTTGGGCTAGATATCAGGGAAAAAATCCTGACTGTTGGAACAGTACAACAATGGAGCAAATGACCTAGAATGGTTGTGGGCTCTCCTACACTAGAAGCACTCAAGTTGTAACTGGGTGGCCATCTGAGAGGGATAGTTTGAGTTAGACTTCTGCACTGAGCAAGGGGTTGGACCTGATGGTCCTCTTGGCCCCCTATAACTCTTCTGTTCTATGATTTTATACTGCTGAAAGTTGCATGGTTGTTCTTCTTCCAGCTGCATGCAAAGATGGTTGAGGAAGAAGAAAAGGAGGTACAATGATCGGCAGTCATGGAAGAGGAGACATGTGGATTTCCTGGATCCATAAGCCTGTCCCTCACCCATTCTTGCCTACATAAATCTGCTGGATGGATTGAGAGGTTTGTCTTGTTGAAAATGCTTTTAATATGGAACAGAAGGTGAACACAGCTTTTTGTTCTACCCCGATTAACTTTTGCCAGCTGAGTTTGGATGGACAGAGGGATCTAGTTCTGGAATCTCCACTAAAAGAGCTTCAGTTTTTTAGTATCACACTTTAAGTACTTATAGCACAATCAGATATTTTGGACCACAACTCTCAAGATTCTCGATTCTTGGCCATGCCAGACTGAGCTGAGGATGAGGTTCGCCACTGTACCCTTAAAACAGCCTTCCCCAATCTGGTGTACTTGAGATGTTTTGGACTTCCAGTCCCATCAGCCCCAGCCAGAAGATTTCTACAGGGCATTTGCCTGGAGAAGGCTGTTCTAGAAGTTGCAGCAGTGAATCCTAAATCACAGATGTCAAAAATATATTCAGTGGACAAATTTCAGAGTTCAAATTTCTAAACTTACAGTTTACATTCCTTACTTGACTCATTACTTGAATTCCATCAACTTGTGAACTTTATTTTATGTGATTTTATGCAAATGTAGTTGTAGAAAAAATATGTAAAATAAAGAAGACATAAAATGCATATTTCTTCCATAATGCAAGATGTAAAAATACATTTTGGGGAGGTGTATATTTTGTATTAATGTATTTTGAGGATATTTGCTTGCTCTTTTGGTGTGCACATTTGTACAAGTGCGAATTTTCACCATTATACACAAATGCATTTGTGCAAAATCTGATTCTATTAGTGAATAGGCAATGGAATAAAAGGCACTTCACAATCTATGAAACATAGGCAGAATCGATTTTACAGCATCTGAATATCCATTCAAAACTATGGAATAGTCTAAAGGTGTTAGCAGCCATTCAGTAATTTTGGGAAAGGGTAAAGAAATTTATTTATTTATTTAAAACATTTGTATTATGAAAAAGTAGTTTCTCTAATAGATAGCACAGACAAACAACATAATCCTCATCCATCAATTGGTGTTATATCAACATTGTTTCAAGCCATTCCAAACTCATACCATTCAGGTTAGTAGATCCTGACTCCAAATCAGGTTATCTGCTGAAATAGGGAAAGAAGTCAAGCGCTGGATTTATTCTGCTACAACACCTGCATTTCTGCCACTGGGGATACCATTATTGCCTTTTTGTCTTCCTTTGTTTTTTGGTGGTGGGTGACATCTGGCTTGGCTATTGCTGGTGGAAATAGAATTCAAAGCTAGATGAACCATTCATCTTGCACAACAGAGGAATCAGGACATTGGAAAGGGTGAGATTAACAAGAGGGTAAGGGCAAATGTGATACCTTTTGCATGCTATTTTCATCTCTAAAATAATATTGTTATACACAGGCACCCTACTTCCAAGCACTGAGAAGTTTCAGGGATTCCTGCACTTATTCAGGGTTCAGATGCCTTAGGCTGTCACTAAGAGTCTCTGCATTGTAAAATTTATTTAATGATCTATATGAAACGAACATAAGACATGGGTCCACAGCACTGGACATTTGGATGAACAAAAAATGACAGGTCCACAGCACTGACAGTCTAACAGATTCCTGTTCCCTCTCAACTCTCTAGAGACCTACATTCTCCATAAGATGAATAATGTGTGTAGCCTCTACCATGTTCCTGTACTTGCCTTTTTCTAAACTAAGAAGACCAAGCAATATAACCCTTTCTCATAAGGGCGTTGCTTTAGCCACTTGCCCATTTTGGTTGTCCTTGCTCCATAATCCATCTTTTGAACCATGCTTTTAATGCTAGGTGACTAGAACTGCACACAGAACCATATTTGTATAAAGATATTTTGACTTTGGCAATTTGGTGTTCACTTCCTTTCTAATGAAGGGCAAAGTGGATTTTGCTGTTTTCACAGCAGACATGCAACACAGCAGACAGGTTGACATTTTCTTTCTTTTTAATGCAATTTTATTTTAAAATAAAATTAACAAAATTAAGGCAACAAAAATAATTATGTTAAATCATGATCATGAAAAAGACAAAGGAATTCACTCATTATAATTCTTGTTCCATAATCACATAGGCCATAAACTATCTACAAGAAAACAGTCTGAGTAGAAGCTTAATGCAAAATTAAGAGTAAAAATACATTCTATGCAACATGTAAAAGGAGTGTGTGTATGTATATATTATTATGTGTGTCACTGTGCATTCGTCAGGGAAAAAAAGGGCAAATGTACTTGGTTGGAACCAGAGCAAATCTGAGCAGGAAATAAATGGAATGCCACAAACTTTTTAAAAGTTAGGATTCTTTGCTGAATTGACAGTTTCATTGGATTGTTCACCACTACCGCCACCTCAAAATCTCTTTCTTGCTCAGTCACTTTAGTTCGGATCCCACCAACCATTAGAAAGTGAAGAGCCACATACCCTGAGTTATATACTCTCAGCTTTTTGCAGCCAGAAACCAGGAAGCAACGCTCTGAATGAAAGATTGTGTCTCATGACCAGCTGTCATCAGTAACTGTTGATGGTCCTGCCCTTCATGTAACAAAACATTGCTCTGAAATTAAACCGGCTGAAAAGTTATAAATAGAAAGCACCATTCACTGTCAAACGCTTCCTCAACATCAGCCTAGATAAATACGGAAAAGAGATTAACTTTACGCAGAACTGAAGTATATTAATTAACTGTCTGACAGGGCAGAACACATCTCTAGGGTGGATATGACCAAGCTGCTATTCTTCGATTGATTTTGTGATCACATCTTGAAATCCAGTGGCTTTTAAATTAAAAAGAACAGAAATACAACCTATGAGACTACTTCATTTAAGTGAAATTAGAAAACAAGGCTCAAGTAGTTCCATGTTCCACATTTCTCAAAAATGAATGTACCTCACATATTGGGATGAGCTGTTTCTTTTATTAATGATACTCATTTTATTCACTATTAGGTGTCATTTTATCATGCCAGGTTCTTATCCTCTTAACTGAAAAGCAGTCTGCTGGCAGAGAGTGAGAGGATGATATGGAACAGAAAGGTTGGACAAAAATGACCACCCAAACTACTTCCCACTGCACTTTTAAGAATAGTGTTAGGATTAAAAATTAATTTTCATTTAAAAAAGTAATAAAGAATAATGAAAAAGAAAGAAAACTGCTACTCTACAGGAGTCTTTCTCAGCCTTAGTTGAACATACAAAAAACTCAACCCAGGACCTTTTGCACACAAAGCTACTGTCAATCTTTGAGAGTTCGTCCTTTAAGAGTTCTGAGCATCCTCTGAGATTGCACTGAGCTTCCTTCACGCTCTTAAAACTTGCTGTTCTAAGCAACTGTTTAGGAGATACTTTAGGAGATACCTCTGAACTGCTGAGAAAAAGTTCATGGTGGCACTTCTTGTTTTGTCTTTGTTTTTGCAATTTGCTATGTGGAGCATAGAAACTCAGGCCTTGTACCAAATACTGGCCCCCAAGGGGCCAATCTGGCCCTATTGGGTTCCTCAAAAAGCCAAGTGTCCTTTTCTGGCCTCACCCACTTCTCAAGCATGATACGATTTGGTGGTTCTTCCACTTGTGTAGTCCCCACACATTCCATGTGGTTGAAACACTTCTGTAAGGTTTATTTACCAACAGCAAGACTTTAAAGCTAAACACGACTTCATGACTAACAGCAACATACTGGTATCTGTTATCTTTTCTGGTTTGCATGTTTGGCCCAGTTTCTTTTGCCACCACTGGATTGTGGTTCAAAATGGAGGGTCTGTACCCCTGGGTGATGTTGAGCACTGTACAGATCACTACATTGCTTGTACATGGTGCTTCAGTGAGCTGTGAATCTTCAACCTACCCAAGAAAGTGCTGCTTAGGGAACAGGAGATAATGGAAGACTTTGGCCAGAGGCTGCTTATGGGCAGCTGCAAGCTTTTTGTTGAACAGCTTCTTAGCTGACTCATCCTAGAGAAGCAGGAATAGCTGACTCAAGCCAAGAGGGCACAGAATTTCTGCAAGGTCCACTGCCTCTCTTAACACAGTCCAGATTTTGCCATGCACTTCCCGCAGTATTATATAAAGGCCACATGGTATTGGTGAGGCTCTTTTTTAAGGAATGAGTCACCAAGCTCTTTTTTTTCTTGACACACTAAAAAGCTAACAGAATTGTGAAGAGAATCAGATTGTATGAACTTGCTTTGTGCACAGTTTCCCCCCCTCAATAAAGCTTTCTTCTATTAGTGAGATGTTTCCAATATGGATAGAAAAGAGCCTTAAGGTTTTAATTTATAAAGCAATTTTATATGTATATGTGTGAGTATTATGATCAGCCCAAACGCTTCAAAGTAGCACTGGGTTAAATTTTTTCAGAGTTCCAAAGATGACTAGAGAGGCAAGGCAAAATTTTATGACTTTTTGAAAAGGTTTCCACAAAATGTAAATGTGAAGAAAGCAGAGAGAGAGAAATTGTTCTCTTAAAGCATTAGAAATTGGATTCTGTGAAAGTGATTAGTAGTAGGTTCAGGTGATTTAAAAGAACCATTTCTTCACATATGTATATAACATATTACCACAAGACCCAGAAATTTAGGGGCAGTCTGCACTAGGCATTCTTACCACAGTATAATCCCTGACCCACTGGCTTGTCACATGACATTCACCCCCACCAGTCTTCCCCTGGGCTATTTCTGCCAGTAAATCCCAGCTTTCTTCAGACCTGTTCTGCCAGAGCTTTTCTATATGCTGTGGTTTTCTCGCCATTGATATCTCAGTGTGGGGCTTAGCTGACAGCACTGTTCTGGGGCCAGGAGATGGTCTCAGGGGGTTGTTGGGATGGCAGGAAGGAATTAGCCAGGTTTGGGGGCAGCCAAAACAGCAGCAACTCTGAGAGCCTTCAGTTGCTTTCCCACCACCCTTCTCTTTCTCTGATTTGCAAATGTTCCGTCCCCCTCTTCTCCTCCCATCAGAAAAAGCAAATTTTGCAGTGCCTTTTCAAGACTTCCTGAGGTTCCCTTTGTCCTGCTTCTTCAGAAACAACTAGATGAAATGCATTTCTACTCAGAAGTAAACCGAATTATCTTCAATGCCTTTATTCACAATTGAATCACAACTGATTTCAGGTGAGCAAATAATGGGAAAGTCCACGTTTGGAGGGGCGGGGGCAGGGTTGTGCCTGCTTGCTTTTTTTTTTTTTTCCAGAGGGGACAGGAGACACTGCCGATTTCATTTTCCTTTTTTTAAGTCCTGCTTTTCGGTGTACTTCATAGCTAATCGAACAGCAACAAGGAAAAGGAAAAAACAAACACAAAAACAAAGAAAACATTTCTCTTCACACGACCATTTACTGCTCTTCCACCTTCCCAGTTCCTTTGACTTCTCTGCCAACTGCATTTGTGTGGGGCATACCTCACATTTTCAAATAGGCTGAATGTATTAGCAAGTTTCCCAAATGCAATCAGAGCGTTTTGCATAAATACTGCAACCGTGTTCCACATAAACAGAAGGGCTCCAGTGTTAATTAAGGGCACCATTTAACTGCAAGTGGGCAACTGCACCCAGGTTGTGGGGCCATCAACAGAAACACGTGATGGGTCGTGGTTGAGCTCTGCATGGGGGCCAGGTAACAAGGGACAGAAACAGCAAATGAGCTGGAGCCAATAAAATCCCGAACAGGAAGCCTTTGTAGACTTTCTTATCCAAAGGAGCCAGCTTGGGTGGGGCAAAATGCTCCAGGATTGACATAGGAGGACTGCAGGAGAAAACCAAGTTTACTACTACTACTTTGGCCCTGGGTAACCCATCTTTGCCAGGGCATTTCCCAGTAGAGCTGGGAAAGGCTTTTGTCTGAAGCATTGAACAGTCAGTGTAAGACAATATTGAGATGCATGGCCCCAGTGACAAGCTCCATTTCAGGCATGTCCCTGTGAAATCTGAAAACGGAAAAGAGGTCCTGACTGACTTTCTGCATGGTTTTTTTCTTATTGTGGGTAATGGTTATGGAAGAGGCTGCCAAAGGAAGTGGGTCCAAATAAATGATCAAATAATGAAATGCAATCAATGTAGTCTCTAAGGATGCCTAACAGGAAGTGTTCCACCTTCCACAAGGTGTGGGGTTGACAAGTCAGAGACTTGGCATTCTTGTCTTAGTGTTTTTCCACATCAGCAACTGCTTTCACTAATGTCTCCTAAGCAGAGCTCTTTCCCAAACTAGCGATGAGTTCCTTCCATGTAAGTGTTACAAGATGCGTGTCCTCGTATAACAAGCCAGGTTTACAGGAGTATGGCAAAATATGTTGCTGTTATCCAGCATGCATCATTAAAGGTCATAAATGCAGAATTATCCCAGCCAAACCTAGTGAGCAGGTTCAAATTGCGTTTCTGATCTGGATGCCAGAATCAAATATCAGTTTCTGCTGCCATATGGCTGAGGGGGACAAGGCAGCTTGGCTGACTCCTGGCTGAGTGGTGTCATTTATAAAATGGAGCAATCTTTCTCCAGATCACAGCTCATGCAGATTTGGAGAACAATGTTGTTTTTCCTCTCACCCTGGGTGGTTTATTTTTAACTCTGCTGAACTATGGTCTTGAAGGGAAAATTGTTAGTTGTATTTTTCCTGGCAAGTATGTTTCAAGCATAGATTGGCAAAGTTTGATTTAAGATTGCATGTAGCAGTCACAAATGTACACTGGCCACAAGTCTAAATATTCAGAATTACCTATTCTATGTGTACACCACTTGAGAATATTTTTTACATGCTGATTAAGATCAAATGCAATGCAGTACACACAAGGCCCATAGGAATGTGCCATCTGAAATAACCTGAAATTGTTTTCAGAGTCAAGAAGATGCAGACCAGTTCTGAGAAGAGAAACATCACACTGAAAGCATTCCTGTTCAAGCATTTCCAGGCTGACAGCCCTCACTCAGAAAGCATTGTTTGAAAAGGATCTATTTACATACCTCCTCCATCTTTGAGTGTGCTAAGTAATCTGAGCAAGGCTTTACACAAGCAAGCATAATCAGATAGCGCCTGCTTTGCTTTTTGTTGGATGGGCATGGTGAACAGGTTGAGTTGTTTCCTTCATTATGTGATGGGAGGTGAATGCACTGATGGATATACAGAAAGAAGCCCAAATGTCAAGACTGCATGTTGCTACAACTTATGCTAGTTTGAGCATTACTACATTTTTTTGGCACTGATTGTCTCGATACACTTCAATCTAGCCTTAAGACTTGCTTGGAGCTCTGAAATTGTTTTGGTTGCCCTGTTGGATGACCTGTGCAGGAAGGAAAGGAGGGACTTGTGACTCCATTTAATTCTTCTGGATCCCTCACTGTGATTTGGCACCATCAGACATGGCATCTAGTCTGAGGTGGAAACAGGGGCCACCATGCTCTTGCAGTTCTGCTTCTGCCTGGCAGGGCATTCCTTGACGGCCATGCTGGAGATCTGATTCTCTCCTCCATACTATTTCTGATGCGGTGCAATGCACGGCTCTGCGTTATTCTTCATGCCCTTCACATGAAGTCTCTCTGTAAGGTCATCTTAAGATTTAGGGTGAAGCTGGAGGTTTAGGTGGAGCACTTATACATTGTGTAAAAGAGAAACTGCATTTCTTGAAAAAGAGAACAGAAGCAGACAAAAATGCATATATATTTGTACATAAATACAGGATACCAAGTTGTCATAAAAAGAGCATAACCATTCTCTTTGATATTGCTAGGATTTATGAAAGGAAAGCCTAAAGCTCTCACTGCGAATGGTTCTTGGTTGTTTTTTCACTCCACCTCAGGCATCACTGTTAGACTTTCCAAAGCTCACCATGCAGACTATACAAAAAAGCACAACCTTGAAATGCTCTACAGTCCCACAAAGAGTGGTAAGGAATATTTTCTGAAATGCTGCCAAACATTATGTTACCTGACAATCAATAGTTCTTGCCCTTTTTACTCTTGCTTTTCCCAATGAACATGCCCCCTCCCCAAAAAGGCCTGTCTAGCCAATGCTTTGATTCCTTAAGGAATCAAAGGAGGAATGTGATATCATGTTGAGTAAAGAAAATGCACAAGAAGACAAACCTCATTCGGTAGTGAAACTGGAACTAATGGCTCCCAGGCCAGTGCACCCAATTTAAAGAAAGATGTCAGCAGAGTGTGCTGTGGAATATGGTTTTGTTTAAACTTGTAACATACCATGAAATGCAGTGCCCTGGATGCATTCCCGTGAGATTTATTTAACCACTTATTTAGATGTCTTGGGCATAATTAAATATGATGTTAGTAAATCTTATGGGGTCAAGTTCAGCTTAAATGTGGTCTCCTTTGCAGTATTTTGAAAACTAATAGCTAACTAAGCTACAAAAAGAGAAAATAAAATGAGAGGTGGGAAAAAGAAAGCCAAAGCAATGCCTTTGCCAAATAGAAGGAGAGAATATGTCATAATAGTAAGACGAAGACCAAGAAAAATGAGGCTTTGGGGCAGGAAAAATAATATCAAATATTAAAGCATATTAAGTCTTAATATTCACTCCTTATGACCTATTGTTGTTAACCTTAGATTATAACAAGCTTTTAAAGATAGACATCTTTAGATGGCTGAAGTCTCCAAGGACAAACGTTGTGTGTCAGGGAGGTGGTACCTCAGGTGCATGCATCAAATACTTTTATTCAAACCCTAAGAAGTGACAACGTGAAAATGAGACTCTTCTCCAAGTACCACTGGTACATGTGGAACCAGAGTGCCCCGTTCTGGAAGCCCCTTTCCATAAAAACTGGTCTGGACATTTTTCTCTCTTGGAGAAAAGATTAAAATCAATTTCTTTGCCCAGGCATTTAATGCTATTTGATGATAGCAGTGAGGTTCATGCATCTGTTGCCCTTGATTCTCGCTTGACATTTTATTATATTGCATTGGAGGTTTTTTAATTTATAATTTTGTAAACCACTTTGGCATCTTTAGGAGAAAGGCAGTAATAAAAAATTCAAAATAAATAAATAATGCCAAAATGATGAGTTTAGCAACACAAATAAGATGTCAGTGGTGATAATGAACTTTTATCATGAATCTGATAGATTCTCCTGCATGATATATTCAACGAATCAGCTACCTAACCAAGAAGCATTGCTGAACAATGGAAATGACAGAGAAATCCTATTGTGGTGGGATGGTTCCATGGCAGAACAACCTGCGTAGAATATAAGGATTCTATTTGAAAGGCAGCTTGAGCATCTTCCAAATCATCTGTTTGAAGAACTGTTCAGTCCAAGTGCACTATAAAGATAACAAACCAGCATAAGTTAGAACTGAGTCTTGAAGTTTTCCATCAGCAGTTGCCACTTGGAAAGCAGTCAGTGCAAGGCTATCCAATTTACCTGGTTTTACCTGGTCAATTTACCTGGTCAGTCTTCTATGCCACAGAGTGTATTGAATACATACTAATGAATATTTATAAATGTGCATCTGTGCAAAGGCTATTCAAACAGAAATCCTCTTTTAAGCTCTTTTTATAGAAATGGGCCCTTTATTTAGGCAGTTCACAAGCTGCCAACGTGCCACCTCCTTTCTCAAAGGTGGCCTGCCTGCATGCACCAGCTGCTGAGGAGCTGGACAGTGGAGTCCTTGCACCTATCCTGCTTGAGGGATCCTGTGGACAGCTGGTCTGTCACTGAGTGTACAGAGTGCTGGATTAGATGGAACTTTGGTCTGATCCAGCCTGGCTTTTCTTATGTGGCTTTTCTTAAGTGGTGTTGGGGAAATCCAAATAAACCTTTATAAAGAAAAGTTGCATATAGGTCCCTTTTCAAGCCTGCAGTGTCCCTGATCCTCTTGCCCAGAAAGAACCAGAATTCTCAGCCAGGCTGCTTTTTCCTTGAAGATTGATTATTGATCTGTCCCAATAAAGAGACTGAGACTCTCCGCTGGGCTAAGGCAGTTGCTACATTTAGCTGCAAAGTTAAACTTGTTACATTGATATCTGCTGGGCTGCAGCAAGCAGCCCTGACTGGTTCTTTTGCATGTCAGTACCTACACCCAAAACCTGTTATGACTCATGTACTTCTCTGTTTGCATATCAATACTCTGTTAATCACTGATATTTATTGTACCATTATGTTATGTCCCCTCTGCAGTTTCTTCATATTGTTTTGTTCATGAATACATTATCTGTTGGTATATACCTATTTTTGCCTCATCTGCCCTGTTCCTGTGTACATGACTAGAAACCTATAAAATACTCTGTACATGTTCAGGAAACTTGTAGTTGGTGTGTGTACCTCTGCTCCCCAGTGCTGTTGTAAAGGTTTGTCTCTGTAGAAGGGTTTTCCTGTGTGTTCTCACTGAGGTTCATAATATAGACATCTCCCTGTGGATCTGAGTGTACATTTGTGCGGGCTGTGAAACCAGGATTCCCTGACAATGGGCACCCTAAAAAGCCAGCGGCAAAGGATCGTGGCTGTTGTGGACCAAAGCATTTAAAAAGCCACACGTATCCCTACCTTGGCTTTAACACCTGCCTGTCTTACTGATCTTGGTGGGCAGCCAATGCACGTAGCCTCCAAAGCTGATCCTAATTCAGACGAGGGAGGTATGCATAAAGAGCCACTTGCTTTTCTGTTACGTTGCTGGTCAAATAAACTCGAACCCCTCTGAGTTCTGCAGAAACACTGAGGGAACCCCCTCCATTATCCCATGGTCTGAGGCAGGAGCATACATGCAGGCCTCACTGCTGTCTCCCCACCCTCACAGCTGCCATCACCTCTTCTCTCACCCGCTGCTGCTTCTAGAGCCCTACAGTGTCCCCATCAGCCATCCTGGCCTCCCTCCTGACACATTTCCTGCAGGCCACCGCTTCTGCGGCCCCACTCACTGCCCTGAGGTTCCCGCCAGCTTGCACCTGCTACCTACCTCCCCATTGCCACTGCCACTGAAACCCAGCCTCAGAGTCCTTCTAGCAGGGGAAGAAGCATGCCGCTTTCCCATGCCACTGGCCATTCATTCTGCTGCTGAAGTTTTCATCCTGCCTCTTGAGAGAGCCAGGCCTGCTAATAAACTCAAGGGGTGAGTGTTGAGAAACATGATGAGGCCATCGTGCCCAGAGACCACCTCACGAGGCCATCGTGCCCAGATCATTGCAGCAAGGCTTGTGCTACAAAATGTTGAGTGTAAACTGGAAAAGAAAAACAGAAAATAGGGTTGAAGAGATGCCAGTGTGCACTCATTGTGGCTAATACTATCTTGGAACAGGACATAGCTGGCTTCCTCAACAGAAGCACTTCGCCTAGTGAAAATATGCTGCAACATGGGCAGAAGGAAAACATGCCCATCCTTCTCTCCTCTCTTCAGGCTCTTGTGAACCAGCAGGACTTAGGGAGTAAAAGTTCTTCCATCATAGACCTCTTTTAGGACCACCCCCTTTTTACCAACTTGCCTTGCATCAATTTGATTACAGTATTTATAATGCATGTTTGTGACCTGTTTTCATAATTAAAATAAGAGGGGTTACTAAGGATACCTAAAGTTATACTTTGTAGTTGTAGTTAGACCCTTCATATCCTACTTATTTTCTTCTGCTATTGGGTAGCTATCTGAACCCTCAATATTTGCTGATGCTATACATGAGCATTTTGAATTTTAGGAAGCCCATTGATGCCTCTTTGTCCAAGTTAACAGCTATTTGTTTATTAAAAATTATATTTAACCCACCATCAAGGTAAAATTTCTTCAAACTACCAGTTAGATTAATAGCTTTAATTATTCAGAGTTTTCCCTATCCTACCTTTTCTCAAAGGAGTTCAAAGCATATGGACTTCCAGGCACCTGCCACACAACACTCATGGTGTATGTGCGTATACAAAATCGTATAATTTTAAAAAAATTATCTTTGTATTTTTGTTTGCACCTGTAGAATTTCTGTTTATCTAAGTATATTTAATACCCCACTTTCACTGGTCTTTCAGTTTTGAAGCTCCAAAGTCACGTTCTTCTCTGAATTTAATTAGCTTTTGTATATTTTTAATATTTCTGAACTATAGAAATGTATTAGAAGAAATGATGGGCCAGATCAGCTCCAGTAGGGTTATTATATTGACTTATTCCACTACATTTGGACAGTGGAAGCTTTAAAAAAGAGTATACTTTCTGGAATGGCTTACCTGTTCAGTTCAAGGGAAAAAACATAACTGTATTATCACTCAGTGCAAAAAAAAAAAAAAAAATCACAGCTGGGGACCCAGAAGACGTGGAAAATGGCATCATGGGCCTCGGTATGGGCAACCTGGAAGGTTCTGGATGATTTGTACTATGATTCACCATTCTTGACTCTTGGCCATATTGTCTCAGGTTTATGAAATCTGTGCTCCAAAACATCTGGCGTTGAAGTCCAAAACTCCATGCTGCCTACATGTGATAATAGATACTTTATGAATTGCATTTATATACTGCCCAATACCAAAGGTGTCTGAGTGGTTCTGAAAAATGGACAACCATAAAAAACAACAATACAATAAAAAACAGTCTAAACATCTTGAAAAGTTAAAATCAGAATAAGTGAAAGTCATCCAGAACAAAAGGCAGCAGCAGTCTGAAGACCTAAAAGCACGATAACATGTTTCTAAAGGCCTGGGAGAATAAGGAATGCTTCATCTGGTGCTAGAAAACCACAGTGAAGGTGTCAGTTCTCTGTAGAAAGCATTCTACTAGTGGTGCGCAGTTTATTTGGCAAAGTCACCCAGAGGATAGCAATTGGTTCCTTGCCATGGATTCTTGCAAGAGGAAGAAAGGCAGCATATATGTGGTGGTGACGATTTGAGAATGACCTTACAGCCTGGGCAGGCATAGCAGATGAATGCACGGAGCCTGGGTATGAGGACAGCATATGTGATCCCATATCTTCCTCCCTTATGACCTTCAGAAGTACATTGCAAGTATGAAATGAGTTATAGAACCTGCTTTTCCTTTTTGTTCATGATATGAATGAGAACAGAAAGTAGGAGGAAAGTCTGTAATGAAAACAAGATGGCACTGTCTAATGTGAAGAGAAGCAGTGTTGAAGGCAACGTTTATAATGGAGCATCCCACATATGTTTGCAGTTTTTTTCTCCAATTAAAAATGCAATGGAAAAAACCTCTTCATTGCAGTCATCCAAAGATAAAAGTGGAAATAATAGAATATCTTCCTGACTCATTTTTGAAGGAAAGCAACATCCTTGACAAGACAGGAAGCTAGGAAACATGTTATTAACTCTGAGAATTCAGAACAGAGAAATTTTTGCCAAGGAAAGAAATTACTTTTTAAAAAAGAAAATATGGAAAGCAACCTTGAGACTATATAATGAAGTTCAGGAATCCTGTTTCTGACCTTCAGGGGTTTTTTTGAGTCCAGATTATACATATGCTTCAGCATCAGGCTTCAGGGCTACATAGGATTCCAGTTGTATGTGGTCCTTCCTGTTCTTTCCAACCTCGCATCCCAAATCTCCTGACATGGCAATTTGCCATGATTGAGGTCTTTATTTTTACACGAAATTTTGTTTTGCTATGAAATAGAGCTGCCTTTAAACGATTAGAGCCAGAGGAGGAAGAAGAGGAGGAGGAGGAGGAAGAAGAAGAAAGCAGCACAGAATAATAAAGCTAGATCATAACAGACATACAAATAGGGTAGCCCTTTCCCATGCTTCTGATACATATGCTGCACATTTGGTGTGTGTTGAAGGGTCTATGTTATTACATACATATGACGTCTTCTCACAGACATGGAATGCAAAAGCAGTGGTGTACAAAGATGGCTCACATGTCAACAGTGGGTGCAGGACAGTGCATGAAAACCTGCTTATCCTCCCAACAAGTCAGAGGTATTCCGCTGAACACATCTTAAGTGCTTTGCTTGAAAACCAAGCACACTTTTGAAGATCTGCTTTGATGAGTGCTCTTCCTGTGGTCATATTTTAGGCTATCTATCTAGATGGATGCATAAAGTTGCATTGTGCACAAAGATGCATTGAGTGCTTTGCAATGCACAAAGTTGCATTGTGCTGAATCAGTCCATTTAATTCAGTATATATTCCTGTGAGAGACTGAACCTCTCCAGAAGATCTTACCTGTATCTGTTCACTGAGATCCTTTCTACTTGCAATGTCAGAAACTGAACTGGGCCTTCCTCAGACATTCTGTGCTCTATTAGAACTTACTGGATTATGTACTTCCTTCACAGCATTTTAAATATAGCTGAAACAAACATGGTGTACTAGCTAATCATAAGGTCTCTCTCGTTCTTTCAAATGACATTTTAAAATGGTCATAAGCAAAACTAGAGGCCAATCTTGAAGAATACAATATGCAAAAATATTGGCATTGTTTTCACAGATAACACATATCAGATATCACATATTCTATATAAGAACATATTTAATATTCTTAACAAGGAACCAAGACTGTCAAATGCATTACTTAATCAGGACAATTTAATAAATTAATAGGCAATTTAAAGAAAATAACAAAACCTCTCAGGTGGCACATTAATTATGGACTTACATTTCACTGATCAAGAATAATTGGATTATGAATGTGGCCAGAAGTAAGTGATCTATTTTCAGGGTCAATGGATTTATCTTCTCACAAATGAGAGCAACGTCTTTTAGTTTGCACATCAAAAGCCTTCTGCTTCAGAAGACTGAAGAACAATCCAGCTAGCTGTTTTGTTTTTATTTTCTGTTTCCATTGTTGAAGAATCATCATCATGTACTTTCTCTCTCAACATGTTGATGAATAGAAAGTCGTGTGAAAGGAACCATTCATGGTAAGAGCATGTTAGTATATTCTGAAAAGTTCTAGAATATAACAATGTATCGCATAATAATAATGGCTTTCACCATTTATCCTTCAAGACTTATTCATAGAAACATCAGACTTCACCAAGGACTTGCTAGAAAATATCCTTGCACAAGGAAAATTGCACAATATTCTCACTATGATGGAAAGATTCCATGGCAGGGTAGCCACATTGGAGGGCAAGGGGCTGTGTGTCCTACTTTGCAGGGGACAGTCCTATGTTTGAAGCGCTGCCAGAGAACTGTCCTCTACTTTGGGCAGTATGGAGATAATGAACCAACTAGAAGAGCTGAGTTCAGTTGCTCATGAACAGTACCTGGAAAATAGCCTAAACATGGACACAAACTTCCAACAA